CTAATGTCCTTTTGTCTTAATGTCTGAAGTGGTGTGACTATAACACCCGAGATGAGAACACTAGTCTGAGTGAGTTAGTATAATGATAATTCTTTATCTAAAATATTAAGGAAAGAATTCTTGATAAAATACAATCAATAGAATCTGCAATGTTATTGGTACTGGTATTGCATATTGGCTGCAGTTATTTTCCCACCACTATAATGTTGCTCCTCTGTGCCTATTCTATAAATGTTTTCATGGTAATTGTTCTGATTAACTTTACTCTATGGTATCTAAACTTCATGAATTTAAGTAGACTACTAGATTGGCAGCTAGGTCTCATCATTTTAAAGTTGAAATTGTTAAATGTAACTGTAAATTTTATGCTAACAGTTTCTTCTCTTGCAATTCTCACTTGTGCAAAACATTTTTCGGCTTCTTGTTTTGCAGGGAACTTTTATCTTCCAAAATTTAAATGTAATGTCTGTCATTACCTTCTATCTTCTTAATTTCTGTTCTTTTATTGTTCTCTTGCCTTCATGTTTTCTTTCCCTCATATTCTCTCATGCTTATTAACCCCTTTCATCTTCATGGCTTTATTGCTTTGCTTGGGATGAAATGATTAAAAAAAATAAGAGTGCTGAACACATTCCTTACATATGGAGAAAAGACATGAGGCAACAGAAATGTGATTCTACAAGAGGCTAATGAGAATACCATGTACTGAACGTGCAATTAACAAGGAAATTTTAGGGAAAAACAGAAACAAAAATGATGCTTATACTTAGAATCAGAAAAAGACAACTGAAATTTCTAGCACACATAACGAGAAAAGAAGGCTTGTAGAACTGGACACTCCCAGAACATACTGAAGTCAAGAGGAACACAGGAACCTAACAAACTTGTGCAAATGAACATCAGAAGAGGTAATGCTTGTGACAGTACAAAGAAGAACCTTAATTAAACTTCTACGGGTGAAAAAGTTGTAGAATGGCAAAAGGTACAGCGGGAAAAGCAGAACTATATATATATATATATATATATATATATATATATATATATATATATATATATATATATATATATATATATAGATATATATATATCTTCCAAGTTGAAAAATTCAGCTGTGGTTATGTAGGGTTTAGAAAAAAAGAGAAAAATGACAAAAAGCATTAAACTTGACAAGAAAAAATCTATTGCTAGAAACTGATTTGTTTTTACAGTTTATCCGCTCTTTTACTACTATTCAAAGTCAAAATATTTTAGATTGCAAGATTTTTTTTAGATTCCAAGAATATTGCATTAAGCTTCTTAAAAGAACACTACTTTTTTCTGGATTCTATTCATAATATTTAACCCATAGTTGAGGAGAGGAGATTTGTACATTTTGTAAGTGTATTTGTGAGCAAGTGAATCTAACCAACCTAATTTGAACTCTGTTCTCTGATTTCAAGCCACTGTACATTATACTACCTGTATATTGCATTTAAAAAAAATCTGTTATTTGAATGTATTAGAAAATAATGATCCACTTATAACAGTTTGATTAAAAGCATGTTGTGTGATTTGAGTTTTGGCAATTGCTACATTTTTCATTTACTGTATCTATGTGAATGCACACATACAAGCAGGTTTCAGTCTGCCTGATAAATCTGATCCGAGTTCCATTATGTAAAGGATTAACAAAATGATGAAACATTTTTACTAAGTTCATAGGTGGAAGAAAGCATCAAAAGGGAGAAGAGACATCTAAAAAGCCTATTCCATTCATTTAATCTTTCCTTCATCAACTATTACACTAATTTTGCTTTTCATTCCACTTTCATTAAGAGTATACAATAATCAGCACATTACCCTAAGTATTGGGCTGAAAACAAAGATATTTGTAAAGCATAATCTTGGAAATATTGAAAAGTTTAATCTCAAATTCAGTTAGAATGATTGACAAATATGAATTTCTTGTGTTACCTAAGAATATGACATTAAAATTAAGAATATAAGCCAGATATAGGTTAAATCACAAGATAGAATGGGTGGCAGCCATTCTCTGAGAAAGACAACTCTGAATTCCCAACCATGGTGAAGGCAACAGGAAACCAATCAATTCTAGAAGTTATGGCACAGATAATAAAAATTGATAATCCCACTTTCTTAATAATCCTTCTCTCACATTGAATTATTTTGATTTTGCCACATTAGCTCTTCAGCTTCAAACAGTTTTGCCTTAAGATCACTACATTTTAAATTTTTCAGCCATGCTATCAAAATCTGTATTCAAAAATACAAGTTTAACAATCCTTGAAGAAACAAAATTTATAAAAGCCTAAGATTCTCAATCCTCGCAAAATTATTTCTGAAACAATCTACATTGTCATGCTACAAATCAGACAAACATACAATTAACTATGATTCTTAAGTAGTAAGTATAAATCCATTGTATTGGTGGCATAGTGGAGTAATGGATAGCAGCTCTGATTGAGAAATAAGAGAGCAGAGGTCAAATTTCTGTCAAGTTCATTACATTCACTTACATTCTAATACCCTGAGGAAAAGTATGAAACTATTTCTTCTCCCCTCAACTATGGGTAAATAGATGGGCAGTTTGAGTTCTATAATTCTAGGTGGTAACCAGTCTAGGAAAAGGTCAACTCTGAATTCAGGGCTGACACTGTATTCCATGTTCTTGTTGGGGAAGAGCTTAGAGGGGAGATGTATGTCTCCTAGCTATCTGAAAACCCACTGTAAATATCATGAGGAAGAATCAAAATCTGTTCCTTCTGCCTTCAAGCGGTCGATGGTTATAAAAAAATATCCAGTTTTAGTTTTATTTCTCTATCTTGTAATTTTTTTAAATATTTTTTTTTTTATGGTACAATCCCATTTTATAAATCCATGACTCAGCTTTTTAAATACCAAGAAAAATAAATCTCCTGGTTCAACATCATACAAGCAATATTTTTATACATAAGAAAATACACCCCTGAACAGTACTGAGGACAAGAGAAGCAGGTAGAAAATACTAGTAACCTACTTAATGAGTTTATGTATATGGATGGTAGAACAGAGAAAGTATTTCTGGAAGTCGGTTTATTTACATGTAATCTTTAATTTTTATTATTTGTATTATTTACATATGGACAATTTCAGTATGAGAAGCATCAGCAATACACTGAACATCAGTCAGGCTAGGTTTAATGTTCCATGTTCTATGCTTAGTATTAATTTTTATTATTTGTATTATTTACATATGGACAATTTCAGTATGAGAAGCACCGACACACTGAACATCAGTCAGGCTAGGTATAATGTTCCACGTTCTATGCTTAGGATTATTGCACAAGACAATAGCCTAGTGGACTAATGCATTTGCTTGTGAATTTGGTGGCAATAATTATGAGTTCAATTCATGGGTCAGGCACAGTGTATTTGGACTCAGTGAAAATGGGGTGAGCAATAAGTGAGCAATAGAAAAGATATTCCTAGACACAATCAACAGAATAGCCATCAGAGGTGTTGCAAACTAGGAAATGTTACTGAATAGAACAATCAAACGGAAGTTGGTAATGAATGATAATAGCTACGACAAGAACAAAACATACAAGATTTGCCAGCAGCACATAGAAGTAGTAGTCAACTGCGAGAAGTGAGTCAAATGAATTTCACGATGAATCTCCAACTTCAGGATATCTACGAACTGCCCCATGTGGTCAGATGGGGCACAGCGCTGAATTTAATGTGGGGTATCTGAGCCCGTAGGCTTGGCCAAATATTTCCTGTAGACCCAGTATAAAACGGGGTCGGATAGCTGTTTCCCAAGATGAAACTCTGCCTTTTGACATAGCCTCATCTAGGGATTCTATCTGCCTTGAGGCAGATAGTTTGACCAGCACAGTTGGAAACAAATCTCCAACTGCAGACCAACATACAGTATTTACTACTGTATTTATGTGAGTGGGGACATATCCATTATCATCTGTAGGTATGCTGCAACAAGAGGTTAAATCATAGATTGAATAAAGAGTCCAGTTAAAAATTTCTAGAAGGTTATTTGGATTGACAAGGCTGGACATTATAAAAACAACAAAGATGAGGACAAATATCAGAGTGTAAATAGAGAGAAAGAAGAGCGTAAAAGGGTTAAAGGTTATTTTGAGCACCAAAAGACAGGACATTTTGGATAGACAGAATCAGTCACATCCTGAAATGATTTGGTATATAAAATAATGATACTTACAGTAATTAATGATTATGATCAATGCAGTGATTTAGCTAAATAGAAATATATGTCGGTCTTAATGGATCTTTACATTTTTCTTAACTATTGCTGTAGTAAATCTGAATGTGTGAGCAGGTGAATCTTTTAAAAAAAAAAAAAAAACTCTAAAAATTGATTAGAATTTGTCATGCTTGAAAAATCTGCTACCACAGAAAATTCGATCCAGATTCACACTTTATAGACAACATTTCATAAAAGATTGTTCATCAAGACAGAGTGCTGTAAAATGCATATTTTCAATTTCAAGTTATTGAGTGATTTAATTAACAATACACACCCCCTCCAGTAGATTATTAATTGTAATGGAAGTTTGCAATTATAGTGAAAAGAAGGGAAAATAGAAATTGTCTTTCAATATGAATTATAGTTCAATAGTTTCAATTATATATAGCCAGAGTTTGAAATTTTGACCCTATCAACTCTAAGTCAATTTTCTGCCTTGCAATAATCTATCAAAACAGAATCAAGTTGACAGAAAATGAATTTTACTAATGTCTGTGTGTTAGATTTTTCCCTGCTGATCATATCTTTTTTTAACAATATCACTTAAGTGGTTAGAAGATTTGTTTACAGTATAAGACTTAAAATCTAATTTCATTATTCCCAGGGCTCTGAGTTAAGAGCCAAAACCTGTTTAATTTCCATTAATTAAACATATTCTTTATTTTGTATATCTTTAAAGATGATATCAATTAAGTAAAAACATTTTGATTAATTAAAAAAAAAAGAAAGGTGGATTATGGCCACATCATGTTGAAACATTGATTCCTATATGATCACCAAACTTAAGCAACAATGAGCCTGGTTAGTATGTAGATGGGTGACCACTTGGAAATACCAGGTGCTGTAAGCTTGGATGTGTGAATGGTGTAATAGATAATGGTTCAGAATTGTTAATCAGAGGCCCAAGTTCCAATTCCAGATGAGTTTCTTGTATTCACTTATGGTGCAAATATACATTTGGGAAATGTATAGCTCCATCTCTTATTCTCCTCAATATGGGTTAATTAGTAAGACTTGTATAGCTAAACTATTATTATCTAAAAAAAAAAAAAAATGCTTATTCCTAAAAATATTTTCTGGCTTTAAATAACCTATAAATGGTTGATAAATCATAGATAATAAATCTGTTAATGAATCAATCAAAAAATAAAAGTTAAAATCAGAAAATGGCTTTATTTAAACATTCAAAATAAAATCAGGGTGCATTTATTTTGGTGTAATTATGGATTTTTGAATTTGAAAAGTATCAATTTTCCTTGGGGGTGAAAATGTGTCAATAAGCCTTAGTTCTCTCGTTCTAAGAATTGAATCTCAGAGTTAAAAAAATAACAAACTTCACAGATCTATTCATTCATTCATTTTCAAAGACAAGTTTTAAGATGTTACGATGGCAAATGTTATGGTCTCAAATTTTTATTAATCAGTGTTGATCATGAGTCTATTGTGAACGGCTTTCCTGACAGGAAACCTTTGATCAAATTGTGTATTGTATCACCATGACTAAAATAAAAAGGGTTATTGATCACCATCAGCATTTCCTGTTTGGGTAAATTTTTGTTGCTTTACTGAACACACATAACTACTCAGGTTTCAAAGCAATTCCAGGAAGCTTGTTGCAAAGTTTAACACTTATTGATGCACAAGGTGAGACATTCACATAATGCATTCTAGCATATTCATGTAAGCAGATTGATTAGAAAACTATGTTAATCTGGCAAAAGGATAAAAAGGATGTTAATTGAGGCTTTTATTGTTTTTTTGTAAATCATTATCAGCTTTGATAATAGACTGATCTTATGAATAATAATGTCCTTGGGTTGGGATATTGCTCAGTTAGGAAAAAGTTATAAAACATAAAGCTATAAATGGTTGAAAACATTAGATGGAGTCAAAAAAATTTTATTTATGTTTATCAGCTTTGTTTTTCAAAATGTTCTAAAGGATTCTCAAAAATGGAAATTACTTATGACTAAACCTAATATTTTCAGTCAAAGTAATAATTGAAGCAATAAAAATAGAAATAATTAAGACAGACAAAAATTAAAAAAAAAATCTACAATCTCAATACTTGGCAACTAGAAAAGAATAAATGAAAAGAGATTAAAAAAAAATATACAGTGTGCTAACCTCTTACCATTCCTTATTGGTTAGAACTCTATCAAGGAAATTTAAATATTGTGTCCAATGACTAAAAAAGCCTGAGGAAAGAATATATACGAGTATGAATAATATATTAACACAAGTATATCTATAAACATATGACACTAAACCTAAACTAATTCTTTTATTTGAATAAGGATAGTTGTCTTGATTTAATGTATTTTAACAGAGGATAGAAAGTGCAATACTAAAATCTAAAGGTGCATAGTGATAGGGAAAGGTGCCTTCCAAAAGCATAGTAATAAGAAATAGAAAAATTTCATTAAAAACAAAAAGAAATGTACTGAACACCTATATAATATCCGTTCTTTTATATAGCAGTGAATGTTGAAAAATCTCCTCACAGATGGAAAAACTTGAAATAACAGAAATGTGATTCTACAGAAAAGTAGGAGTATGAGAATACCATAGACTGAACATGTAAGCAATGATGAAGTTTTAGAGAAAATGGAAACAAAAAGGATGCTTATACTTAACATCAGAGAAAGATACCTGCAGGACAGGTAGAAGGCAAGAGAAACAGAGGAAAAACAACACCTAACCGACCTAGCAAGCTTAGATGCTGGAACATGGTTTAGAAAAGGTAATAAAAAGACAAAATTTATTAAGAGCTACAAAGGGCTGGAAATTGTGGAGAGTCCTGATTGCCAACATCCTGATGGGAGATGGCATGTAGAAGAAGTAGTAATTATAGTAGACTATTTTCTTAATAAATACAAGTAATCTTCTAAATATAAAATTCTGTGGCTTCTGTTAGTCAGTCTGTCCATTTGTCACACACTCTAAAACAATTATACATTGACCGATCAAAACCAAATTTGGGGGAGAAATGAAAATAGTTGGTTTTATTAGGTTGCATAGTTTAGTACAATAAATTTTCATTAATTTTTTGGAAAAATTAAAAGTTTTATTATTTAACATACAAAATATTCCTATTATTTTAAAAGCAATTTATTGATTAAAATAACATACTTATTTAATAAGATCTGGTGTCTCGTCTGCAGTCACTCTCTCACAGACGCATCATCGCCTCTCTCTGTCTTTTCTACAAATACTTTCAGGGTAATTGCTCCAATGAGCTGCTTTCACTGGTTCCCAGACTCCATGAATTCAAGCGCCCTATGAGGCTGGCATCATGCTCCCACCCTTACACTATAGAAAGTTTTAAATGTAGCCATCTCTTCTACTCCAATAGCTTCATACCTCGTACCTCTCGCCTGTGGAACACCCTTCCCAATTACTGTTTCCCTGAAAGCTATAATCTCCAACTATTCAAATGTAATGTCAATCAACACCTCCAGTTACCTTGATCTACCCACTATCTTTCTCCTCATCCTTTCTTCTATCACTCCTATCTGCTCTCACTCCAAATCTTCTGCAACCCCCTGCATCCTAGTGGCTTCATCCCTTGCTCAGGGCATAATGCTTAAAAAAAAAAAAAATGAAATATTGCTTATTGCATATCTTTTCTTTAAGTTTTTATATATATTTGATTCTGGTAAAATATAATGCACAGTAGCAGAATTAAATATAAATACACAAGCGATAGTTTCAAATTGGCAGATGAAACGATAACTTCAACAATACCAAATACTGTGAGGATTTTAACATGCATCAACATATTGCAAAAAACTTCTAGTGCTGCAAATTTGATGGAATATGTTATGTTCAATATGCTAGTAGGATAACTTCAGTCTTCACTGGGTAACTCACCTTGGTGATCTGTTATCAAAGCTCAAATAAGTAAATCTCATGGTTGAGAGAGTTGTGTCTCTCATTGGAATCAGTGGTAAGTATTCATGCCCTGGTAAAGAATTTTCCAGACAGCTAATTACCATAAAACCACAAACTTCCTGTCCCTATCAATTAAGATTTCTCTAGTCCTAGATTGAAACTGGTAAACCTCATGTAAAGCTAAAAACAATTAGGTATTATTTTTCTTTTATATTCTATGTCTTCAGGATTTTGGAAATCATAGCTCTCCACAAGTTCCTGCTCCTTGTAGTTCTAAGCAATATCTAATTCTTAACTATCCCTCTTTGTCCCTACTGCCATCCATTTACACAACCTTGTTAGGTAACTCGCCTCTATCCATCTTGCCATTATGTGCTTTGATTGCTAAGTTCCCTTATTCATCTATCTAAATTATTCAAGAATGTTTCCCTGAACTTATACAATAATATATTTATAATTGTTGTGGTAAGAGCCAGTTACCCTCCTTACTATCATTAATGAACTGATTCATTCATGATAAGTAGTCCTGGGTAACTAAGAGGAAGAAGATAATACTATTGCAGTGACTTGTCTAGCTGAGTATTGAATGCTATTATCATGACTGACTCTGTCGAGTTAATTGTGGTGTCTTGCCAGATCCCACATCACAACAATAATACATCCATTAAGTCATTAGAAATTGCTTTGTTTACATTTCAGATACAAAAATCAAGCAGATATAGGCTATCAAAAAAATCTGAATGAAGGGATGTACATTCTTTAAAAGGGTAAACAGAACCTTACTGGGTTGTGGCACTGTGTGGCTGAGTGTTCTAAAGCAATCTGGATCAGACAACAGCTTTTACTACAAGGACAGTGATACTGGTAGTATGAAATTAGGATTAAAAGGGTTCATGTGAAAACTCTGTATAGGAATCGGAAGCATTAAATATGTTAAGGTGAAAACATGAGTTGAAATATGAAGCAAGGGAAAAAAAAGAAAATTTTTTTTTCTCTTTCTGATAACCAGGAACACAGAATGGAATAAGAATGTAAATTTTGAGCCAAAAGAAAAAAAGGAATTGTTAGAATTTGCAAAGCCGGTAATGTAAACAATGTGCATTGTCATTTTGTAAACATGCAAAATGGGCAGAAAATTATATTGATCATACTGAAAAATCGACAACGAAAGAAAATTCTTTGACATCAAGGACAAGGAATTTAAAAACACAGTTTTCTATCGGAAAAATTATTGTTTTGAATAAGTAATTGATCATGGACTGATTGTTGTCAGGATATAGAATGTATTGTTTTGAATGACTGAGTGCTTTGTTTGAAGGTAAGTGTCAATCCTCCAAAATAGAAGAAAATAATTGATATGATTATTGATGAGTCATGACGTGCAGTGGGAGTTGGGTGAAATACATACAAACAGAGTGCTTAAGCAACCCAGCAGTTGAAGTGAGAGATGGCAAGAAATGCAGATGAGATGTGACAGTAGCAGACAAATGAGCTGATGAACCCCATGTGAACAGCTGCCAAGAGAATTCTGACCAAACCCTTTCTTTGAGGATTGAAGCTGCTACAAATTTTTAAAAGAAAAAGACAAAGTGTCACAATAGAAAGTTTAATGGGCAGGGGTAATTTTGTTGTACCAAAAACTATATAAACCAATCGAAAATTAACCTGGTGACCTTCTTCATTATTTTTATTTTCGCTAGTAGAAACCTTTTTTGTCCTTTTGTAGCACTGTTTTGCCATGGCCCGATCCAGTGCTCAAGTATGGATGAAATTCGATCTTCACTGCTCTGTGATCAAGGAACACAATGTGGGACAGAAGCAGATGAAGGAATGAAGCAGAAAACAAATAACCATCAGTTAACTGGCGGAAGTACTGGCCAGCATGGGAACAACCCAGCATCGAGTCAGGCTAGCTGTGTTATAGATGCAATTTCAAAACCCTACTGGAGAGCAC